TAAGTAAGTTAAATATACCTCATAGACTGAAGTTGTAACTCATATTAGAAAGGCTGGATCACTTTTTATAACTAGCCGCTTATACAGTTTATTTTTATCTATGTCTTTATGTTTTTATTTCATTACACTACAGAGCTTTCACCTACACAGCTGGCAATGTGTACTCTTTCATTTAAGATCATACAAGGTATGTAATCATGGCAACAGTAACTATGCTGTGAATTTTCTTTTGTCATGTTTAATAGACTGGTCATTTAGGCACCTACAAAAAACAGCTTGGCCAGAGGAACAGAAGAACTGGATAAACAAGTATCTTCTATTCAAATATCAGATTCACAAAAGCATTTCTTTGTCCCCAGTTATGCGTATAAAGTCTGGAAGAAGTCTTCCAAGTGGAATATCTTTACATAACACAGGTTTTTGTTTTGTTGTTAAACTCACTTGTTGCTAAGGAAGAACAGAGAAGATCAAAGGACTTCGAACAACTAGAAAACCAAAGGTGAGGGAGTTTTGATTTCTTTCTCATTCTTTAAAGATTTATTACTGAACTATAACAGTTGCTGGTTCATAGTTCTATGAAAAGAATGGGTGAAATGATGAGAGCCTGATTTGCTATCTCATATTTAACTTCAAACATTAAACAATAGTTCAATTAGCATTTTGATTAGCAACATGATCATGCATTCAACTAGCCTGTTTACAAATCCATACGCAATTGAAGTCCTAAGGACTAAAAAAGAAGAGCTAGTAGAAGGCATAAATGACCCAGACCATCTTCTGAACTGGCTGATAGACAATGGTATTTTTACCCCAGAAAAAAAGATGGTCATGAGTTTCTACAGGACACGAAAAGAACTCTCGAGTTTTAGACACACTAATTTCTCAAGGTGAACAAGCCTGCAGGCTCTTTTTTTATCCATGTCTAAAGCAGGTGGAGCCAAAACTTTACAGCAAGATGAGAAAATATGTCAGTGAAGTAAATGAAAGCATTGGAGATGCTAGAAGACAACTGGTAAGTTATTTACTTGAAAAAGACAAGGTTTGGTCTGAGAACAGCAGTGAGCGGCATGAGGAAAAAAGAAGACAGTCCTGGAAGAAAAAAGCAAGAATGGGCTATTAAGAAGAAAGGAAAAGAAACTCAACTTTCAAGGGCAGCAAAACCTAGGAAAGGTCATGCCGACGTTGACATCTTTGATGCAGTTGCTAAAGGCTATCTTTGAGTTAGAGAAAACATTGAAAGACAATGATATTAATGCATTAAACTCTTCAAGTGAAACACTTCTGCATGTTGCAGCTGCTAATGGACATCTAACAATAATGGAATATTTGATCAGCAAAGGTGCAAAGACAGATGCGAAGGACGAGAAAGGAAGAACACCACTGCACAGGGCTGCTGAGAACGGCCATGGTGATGCAGTGAAAGTGCTTCTCCGATGTGGTGCTTATATGTACAGTTTGGATACAGCAGGCAAGACACCATTTCATTTGGCTGCACAGAAAACCCACAGTCACATATTGAAGACACTCTTGACAGAAGAGGCAAGAAGCTACAGGAACCAGTGCAACTTTTTGCACATGGTAGCTCTTAATGATGAGAGCAGTCTGGCAAATACGATTTTAAAGGCTGGCATCTCCACTGATGGAAAGGACGAAAGACAGACTGCTCTCAGTTACGCCGTTTCTCAGGGGTCTGAAAACACTGCAAAAGTACTGCTAGAAGCCGGAGCCAGTGTTGATTCCAACGCGGCCGAAAAAGCCTTCAACAGCAACCACCCATCCATCTTCAAAATACTACTAGAATATTCTAAAGATTTGTCGTCTGACATAATGGAGTCAGCTCTTTTTAGAGCTGTACAGAAAAATCTGCATGGTATTGTAGCAGCTTTAATTGACAGAGGTACAGACATAAACGCCTACAATGAAATGCAGTACACTCCCTTACTCCTGGCATGTGAAACAGGCATTCAGGCAAAGCTGAATCAGCAGAAGTTCTAATCGAAAAGGGAGCAAACTTTGGAATAAGGACTCCTGCTTCAGACACAGCTTTGCATTTGGCAGTTCAAGCTGGGGCTGCTTCCATTGCAAATCTGCTTCTGCGCAAAGGGATGGAAATTAACCTCACGAACCAAGCTGATGAAACCCCGCTCCATGTTGCTGCACTTCATAATAAAGGAGCATTAGTCGGCCTTTTAGTTAATGCTGGGGCCAAAATTAATGCTGCCACGAAAGAGTTTGTTACTCCCCTGCATATTGCAAGTCAAAGGGGTAATGCTGATGTTACCCAACAGCTGTTGTACCACAAAGCCAATGTTAATGTTAAGGATAAGCAGTCAAAATCACCTTTACATTTTGCTGCTGAAAGGGGAGACCAAATGATGGTAGAGGTGCTTCTGAACGCTAATGCTGACCCCAACTCACAGGACAAGGAGAAAAAGATTCCCCTGCATAATGCAGCTGTGAGAGGACATCTCAGTATCATGAAAGTTCTGTTAGCTAAAAAAGGAAGATTTGGAGCTAAGGACATGGACGGATGTACTCCAATGCACTACGCAACCATCAAAGGAAACACAGAGATCGTAAAAATTCTTCTGACATCAGGGAAAAATAAAAATATTGATGATCGAAACATTTGGAGAAAGACCGCACTGCATATTGCAGCAGAATATGGACACAGCAACTTGATAAATCTGTTACTGAGCTATGGGGCAGGCATTAATGCCTTAGATAGCAGCAAGGATACTCCACTGCATTGTGCGTGCAAGGCTGGTCATTTTAATGCTGCAAAGTCCCTCGTAAACTGGTCACAAGGTGAAAAAGCAAATTTACTAGCTGCTAATAGTCTCAAAAAGACCCCGTTGCAAGTAGCAGAATTTAGTAATACAGAAAATCAGGCTCAAATTGTAACACTTTTGAAAAAGAAAATGTTAGTAACAAAATGAAGATGTAAAGCAAAAACTTCTAAATATAAATGCAGAATTATCTTTTAATGTAATCTGGATAGTGCTGTTGCCTTGTATGACTGAGAATTATGTTAGGGCAGGCAGAATTACGTTAGCAATCAAAGGTGGCCATGGAAAAGAAGGATCTTAAAAACACTGTTAAACTTCTAAGTATTGATTAGTCTTTTGCTTCTCTTATGAATCTCATACTTGGAATCTATTTAAAAAGAACCAGTCTTAAACACACTGTGTATGACCTCCTCTAGTATAAATCAAGACTTTTAAAAAAAAGCAAGTAACTTTCCCTATCTGTGAATATTAGCCTGCATGGATAGCTTAGTTAAGCATTGTTTGGTAAAATCACATTTTTAAAAAGCCATCTACTATGAATAATGAGACATCTGTATCCTCAAGGATATAGAGCATATAGATGTTGGAGTAGATAATGCTAGTTTTGTTTAGCTTAGGCAGACCTAACTGCAGGGTGCTGCCAAAAGAGTGATCTGCCCTCCCCTTCAGCCCAGTTATGCATGCCTGCTCTTGGTTGTACGTGTGAGCTGATCCAACTTATTCCACAGCTATAACTGAACAAAGGGAGAAGCAGGGTAGCAAACAGCTGAACAGCACTGGCTCTCTGGAGGGTAAGGTGGTATCAGCTTAGTTTATGCTATTACAGTATTGCTCTCTGAACTAACTGGAGATCAGAAGGCACCTCCCTGCACATCTACTAGTGTGGGGTTGCTCTACTCTATATTTACTAGACCCACTCCCCATGCTAATAAATCCTATCAAGAGTCTTGGTATAAACCAACCAGAGGAGCAGTGTGTACCCAAAACTTTGCTAACACGGTGATGTTGTTTTCAGGACACTATTATGCGCTACACTAACATTCAGTATTGGGCTGGACCATCTTCAGACATTTCTATATTATACCCTACAGCATGGCATTGACAGATCCCAAGACTGTAACCATTATTTTTCCTTCTATCTTCCATCATACCATTTGTCTAGATTTTGCATTTTTAAGTAGAGATAATGAAAACAACTGTATTTGCTGTTAATTCCACTTTCAAATCAACTCCTGCCCAAAGATGAAATATTCAGAATAAAAAGGCTGCAAGAGAATTTATTCGTTCAAAAAAAATTGTATTGTCACCTCTTAAAACAGAAACACTTTGAGTCGATGGATGGTTCTCTGTGGCCATTTTCTACATTATGATAATGAACCCTCAAGGTTCTTCACACTTCCCTTCGGTATATGATTAGACGCCCAATTACCAAGAAGGGACAAATACTTCTTGTGAAGTGAAAACAGAGATTTAAGAAAGCAGGGGAATAAAACTGTGACTTTTATAGCCGTGTTACAACACGGTTCTAGATGAATAAAAAGGCATGAGGGCCGCTTGGCAGCACACAAACTGAGGCTAGCAAAACCGACACCTGCAGCGCGGGGCACCGAGACAGTCTCCCTCTTCACCGGGCCCGGCTCCACCCCGGGCAGCTCGCAAACCGCCGCCACCCCAGCAAAGGCGAACGGCCCGGCGGGTTTCCAGCCACCCC